ATTGAAAGTCAGGCAAGTAAAGCAGGATGTGGTCCTCAAAATTTTCACAGCCTTTTTGATCTTTCTAATGTAGTGTTACCTGTTGTTGTTTAACAGTCTTTTGAGCTGAAACTTAGATTTAAAATGTTTAGTGTTTTACATTTATATTCATTGTGTTAAATCTCTGTATTGGATTTTTTTTTCTCCAATATCATTTTACAAGATTTAAAATATACTGAATCAAAAAAAGGATATATCAATAAGCCTATATAACTTATGTTATCTTTTTATGCGTTTGTTTTATGCTTTTCCAATCTGTTAGCCAGCAAGAATGATTATAATGTTAGTATGAAAGTTGAAATTTCCAGGGGTTTAGGGAAAAAAAGGATATATCAATAAGCCTATATAACTTATGTTATCTTTTTATGTGTTTATTTTATGTTTTTCCAATCTGTTAGCTAGCAAGAATGATTATAATGTTAGTATTGAAATTTCCAGGTGTTTAGGGAACCAAAACTGGATCCCCAGATTGTGACAAAGTTCTTGCCAGCTTTAGTATCCTTGATGGTGGATGATGATGTAAGAAGACTGAATGCCAAGCTTCCTCCTGATGAGAGGGAGTCTGCTATTACCATTATTGAACATTCAGGCAAGTGTTTGGTTATTTTACTATAATTGTGTGTGTGTGTGTGTGTGTGTGTGTGTGTGTGTGTGTGTGTGTGTGTGTGTGTGTGTGTGTGTGTGTGTGTGTGTGTGTGTGTGTGAGAGAGAGAGAGAAAGAGAGAGAGAGAGAGAGAGAGAGAGAGAGAGTGAGTGAGTGAGTGAGTGAGTGAGTGAGTGAGTGAGTGAGTGAGTGAGTGAGTGAGTGAGTGAGTGAGTGAGTGAGTGAGTGAGTGTGAGTGAGTGAGTGAGTGAGTGAGAGAGTGTGAGAGTGTGTGAGTGAAAGTTTGTAAAGGGAAGCGCATTTTATTTATTTCATAGGTAAATTGCTGGTTTCTTGCAGCAGGATAAGTATGCCCACTATTTTAACATCCTATATTTTGTGGGATTGTTTAATCATTATTTCTTGTAAATAATTTCTTTTTGTTTTTTATGTTAACTGAATTCAGTTTTCAGTTTATTTAATGTATGCTTTTTTTCTAGGTCCCCCACCGGATGCTTATCAAGCTTATTTACAAGAAAGCAGTGTGGCTTGTGTTTTAGCCATGTATTACACATTGCATACTGCAACACGTAAAGACAAGACAGCTCTCATGAGAGTTTTGGGTACATTAGCCACCTGCCACCAAGATAGAGCATTTCAAGATACTTTCCTTCACTCTTTGGTATGACAGTCTACTATTCTATTCAACCATTTTTTCCTTCTGTCTGTGATTTTACTTTATTGTTACATTTTATTTTGTGTAAATACACTGGAGGTCTTGAACTTCCAGTAGTTTTACACAACTAATCCTATCATGCTTAAGTAGATACTCCCCAAAGGGTGGAAATCAATGAGCATTTATTTGTAGCATTAAATGTATTTTACCTTATGAAAACAAAACTATTCCTGTCATGCTTAAGTACTTTCAAAGGGCAGAAATCATTGAGCATTCATTGTTTAGCAGCAAATGTATTTTAATTTATGAAAATCTTTTGCATAAGAACTGAAAAAAATGTAATTGATTACATCTTTTCAGTCAATTCTAGGGAAAGGATGGAGGTTAAGGAACAGCAACCAATTTCTGTTGATTTTGCAGGTAGCAGCACTGATCCCAATGGCCGATGATTTCTCAACCGAGGACTTCTGCACAGTGGTGTTTGATGAGTTTTTCTTTACAAACATCAGCAGGGAAAATGTGATGCGTCATGTTATGAAGCTTGTGTGGTACATTCATCCTAAACTACCCCCAGCTCGTCTTGACACTCTGATGAAAGCACTGCAGCCTGGACCTCACTCGGTGAGTTTTTTGCTTATTATTTTCTAAAGTCAGTTATTTATTTTGTGTGAATATTCTGAGAGAAAAGTGGTCAGTTGAAAAACCCAGAGTACTGTGCTTTATAATTATTCACTTGTTGGAACCCCCTGAAAAGAGAAATAAATAAGTAAATGAAAAATAAAATGAAATAAAAAAACTAAATTGCTAAACTAAATTTCTAAATTGCCATTGTTCATCCACCGTCAGAGTGAATCAAGCCAGAACCTGTACGACAAATTCCAAAACAGAGTACAGGAGTTCCAGGACGGGCAGAATCAGCCGGCTCCATTAAACGAAATGGATTCCCCTCTTATGGCTGTACCAACCCCAGCACCCATTCAGTGAACTTGACAAGGAGTGATATCACCTCGAAGTTTCTTTGAAATAAAGAAAGATTGTACACTAACCACTATGTGTTTGAAATTGCAATATGTACATTCAAAAAGAACACATGCTGAACTTAGATGTTGATTTTACGTTAAAAAAATAATCCAGATTTATATATCGTACAAGGACCAAAGAATTTTACTTTATAAATTCTTTGCAATAAAGATCTTACAAAATCTTGTGTTTATAATCCCACATGCACTAATATTTTTCTATAGGAATTTTTTTAAGGTTACAAGAAAAATGCTTAGCCCCTTCCAACGGGCATGGCACGTACGTACATGCCATGCGCACTGTGAGTCGACTTGTTTGATTGTTTTAACACATAGATGGCTACACTTGTACTAAGTCACCCGTGAGCCAATTACGAGTACTGCCTGTCTTGCCCGTTCACCCTTTTAATCGATTTACGAAAATATTTAACGTTATCCTAATTTGCTGTTAAAAATAACACCATATATATTTATAGCGCTAGTAAGAATACGTTTCTTCCCGCCAATTCAAGGAAAGGTGAAATCAGGACTAGCAGAGCCATCTATGTACAGAGACATTTCACAAAAATATAGAAAATGAGTACAGCATTTTCCCCATTTTTTATTAATTTTCCCCGGCGGCTGTGAGCTCGACCTGATATTGGTATCCCTGACAGGGGCTTCATTTGGGAGGGGCAATTGCCTTCCCAAAACTGCCCCCTCAAGGCCTGGCTTGCTCCTCCAAGGACTAATTGCATCCATATAGATCCAGTTATAACTTTAAAAGGTCCCTGGAATAACTCATTCTACAATTTTGTTCACTTTGCTCGGCTTTTGAAATGTATAATACTCTTAATACTTTCGTGTTATCGCCACCACCTTGGCGAAGTCTACGTGTTATAGAAGCCACTAACGACGCCGTTAACTGGTGTCCGTCTGCAGAGCGCAATCGCTCCCATGCCGTAATTAGTTGGGCAGCGACGATATGACGATTGCAGGTATGATCTTGCCCCTGGTTGGCCAAACACTCTCAATGTGATTGCGATCTGGCAATTTGGTTGGATGTGGTACTTCATAATCTCGGAGTGTTGCCGAAACCACGCCTTCACGACACTGCCCCTGTGGTTATCCAGGTGGTGTGCATCCACTCTAACAGCCAAGTCAGGTGCTGCAGCGTAAGTCCCACCGGATGTTGCCAGCAGAACAAAAGGGGTCCTTATCCATTGCAGTAGTTTAAAGGAATAATGAAAATATATAACTAAGAATAAAATGACTTACGGTAAGGGGACCTGGCAAATAACTACCAGCTACGCCCCCTTCTGTGAGGGGTGTTGCCACTGAATATCAAATAGTTTTCATTAGGTCATGGTATTCATGCTCCTCCATGCAAGTGTCCTATTTGTCTTTCATATAGCACATTGATTAATAGTTTTGAATGGCATTTACTTGATCTTCCTCCGTCGTACATCTAGGGCGCCCACTTCTTGGCATATTTCTGGTGAATCAGTTCCTTGGTGTCACTGGATCCGCAGAGATACGGTTGGCTTCGAAATACCTAATCTTCATGATCTTCAGAGCAAAACGTAATTATAACGCTACAAATGGTCTATGAGGTCTCCATTGCTTATATTGCCAAGATACGAGGCCATAGCCATATAAACTCCGAAGCACTATTCGAACACATTATGAAACTTTACTTGTGCCGAGTTTTGAAGACAAGTACCGACCTTTCCGAATCAACTAGTGATCGTTACAGCTTCATCTACTCAGTAAAGATACTTTTTATAGCGAGTTTAGATACAGGTACATACATATAGAGAGAGGGAGAGGGAGAGGGAGAGGGAGAGGGAGGGGAAGGGAGAGGGAGAGGGAGGGAGGGAGATGGAGAGGGAGAGGGAGGGGGAGGGAGGGAGGGAGGGAGAGATTTAGAGCGAGAGAGAGAGAAAGAGAGAGAGAGAGAGAGAGAGAGAGAGAGAGAGAGAGAGACAGACAGACAGAGAGAGGGAGGGATAATGTTAAAGGGAGAGAGGGGAGAGAAGGAGAGAGAGAGAAAGGGGGAGGGGAGGGAGGGAGAGAGAAGGAGAGAGAGAGAGAGAGAGAGAGAGAGAGAGAGAGAGAGAGAGAGAGAGAGAGAGAGAGAGAGAGAGAGAGAGGGGGGGGGGATGATAGATTGAGAAGAGGGGGAGAGAAGGAGAGCGAGAGAGAGAGGTGGGATGATAGATTGAGAGAGAGGGAGAGAAGGAGAGAGAGAGAGAGAGAATAGATAAACAGATAAATAAATAGTTATATAGATACGTTATGGGCTAGAACGTTGCGAACAGAACACCTGCAGTCACCCTACAGCGCGATATCCAATGAATGCTGTGGGTTCGGCGATCTTTGTATTATTCAGAGAGAGACAGACAGAGAGAGGAAATAATGTTAAAGGGAGAAAGGGGAGAGAAGGAGAGAGAGAGAAAGGGGGAGGGGAGGGAGGGAGAGAGAGAGAGAGGAGAGAGGAGGGAGAGAGAGAGAGAGAGAGAGAGAGAGAGAGAGAGAGAGAGAGAGAGAGAGAGAGAGAGAGAGAGAGAGAGAGAGAGAGAGAGAGAGATATTATACAGAGTGCCTCGACTTCCGTTTCGACGTAACGTTGAGGTCACTTCCTTGCCTTTATCGCAGAATCGGATCATTCGGTTATGGGATCTTTGATGTCCGTAAGATTTATGTCTAGTGTGACTATATCCACAATGGGTTGTATATTCATGTCTTATAAGTGCTACTACCTGGAAAGTCTTCTTATTTCAGATTATCAGATCAGACGGGTATCATTCCTGATAGCATACCTGTTACCTCATGTCCTCGTTTTTCTGATATCTCACGCATCTACTATTACCAGTTAATTTAACAACTTGGAATGTTAGCATCTAGGAATTTCTTAAGTACTTCCGGGGAAAGTACTCGCAGGTAACTCTATCTGTGGATGTGATTATTTTGGCAGTCAAGAGAGATACGACTGGAATGATCAGTGATCATGTCTACCTCGGTAAGGTGAGTGATAGTGCTAATTTAAGAAATTTTGCATATTTCTTTAGTCACGTATTTAAGTGATGTAGTCTTCGTTGTTCGCTTACTGCTCGTTTCTTTCTGTTGGGTTCAGTAAGAGTCGTTTGAGGTTATAATTGGAAGTTTGCATTAACACAGATTTCCAGTGCCACTAAACGTATTATTTACAAGGGGGTCACCTTTTAGGGCACTATATGGGTCTACTTTTGATTGTAATGAACTGAAATTTCCCACTATATAACAAAATCATGAATAGAAATACCAAAGATAGTTATATTTTTGCTAACCTCTAAGATTAGTTGGCCGCACTACTAGGTGTTGAGTTAGCATTTCACTTATTAGCCGATGATTCGAAATTCTCTTCGTGGTACTTAGTCAACAAACTACTGAATCGTACGGGATGTGTAAATAACAGATGATTTGTCTTATGTACGTATTTCTGGTAGTACTAACACTTGAAGTAAAGTCGCACAACTATTACAACTTTTACTAATATTAATACTACTATTTCTTCAACTACTCTAACTATTACTCCTCTTCCCCATCCTCTACTTTCTCCTCCTCCTCCTCCTCCTCCTCCTCCTCCTCCTCCTCCTCCTCCTCCTCCTCCTCCTCCTCCTCCTCCTCCTCCTCCTCCTCCTCTTCCTCCTCCTCCTCCTCCTCCTCCTCCTCCTCTTCCTCCTCCCCTTCCTCCTCCTCTTCCTCCTCCTCCTCCTCCTCCTCCTCCTCCTCCTCCTCTTCCTCCTCCTCCTCCTCCTCCTCCTCCTCTTCCTCCTCCTCCTCTTCCTCCTCCTCCTCTTCCTCCTCCTCCTCCTACAACGACTACTACTACTACTATTACTACTACTACTACTGCTGTTACTACTACTACTACCATAACTGTTACTACTGCTACTGCTACTACTACTACTACTACTACTATTATTATTATTATTATTATTATTATTGTTATTGTTATCATTGTTATTGTTGTTATTATTATTGTTGTTGTTATTATGATTATTATTATCATTATTACTATTATTGTTGTTGGTGTTATCATTCATATCATTATTGTTAATACCTGCTCTACCAGTGGGAATTCCATCGAAAAAAAGGTACTGTACTCCCCTTCTCTCTCCCTTTTTATCCTCCTCCTTCTAACACTCATCTCTTCCCTTTCCCTTTCCCGATATCTAACCCTTTCCCGGTTTACCACCCCCTCTCACTCCCACATCTTCCTCCCCTCTCACTTTAATGCTTACATTTGTCCCTTCCCACTTCCTTCTTCATTCCCCGTAACCTCCCCACCTCATTCGCTCCCTTACCCCCTTTCCCTCCATTCTCCATCCCCCCTTTACTATCTGAGCCCCCTCTCCCTTCCCCCTTCCTTTCTCCTTATCCATCCCCCCTTTTCTTTTTAAGTCCTCTCTGTTTCCCCTTCTCTATCTCCCTTTCTTCTTTAAGTCCCTTCCCGACCTTTCTCTTTAAGCCCCCTTCCCCTTTCTTTCATCACGTCCCCTCTTTCTCCCTTAAGCCCTCTTTACCCATCCCCTTCCTTTCTCCTTTTTTCAATCTTCCTTCTTCTCCTTACAGATAGTCATGTGAATAATAGATATCGACTTGCCTCGAAAAAGAATGATAATAATAATAATAACAACAGTAATATTGATAACAATAAATAATGACAATGGTAAAGATAATAATAGAGTCAGAATAGGATTTTAATAGATTCGCAATACGATACCTTTATGCGTGTGTGTATGTGATTCACAAGAGTGGGTGTGAGGAGAGACAAAGATTTTGTTGACGTCTTGAATTTATTCCAAACAACAAGAAATAACGATCAATCCTCGTGTTAGAATTTGTTTTGGGATATTTGTTCATGTTTGCTTACCTGTTGATTTCTAATTTCTTATAATTAAAGGCTGCTAAAAGAGAAAAGAGAACGAAAAATGTTATGCAAGATGTCGTGTCATTATAAGCCAATCTTGGGATCTTATTTAATTTTCCTTAATTAGCATTTCTTTTCATTTTCAGTAATTCATTTGAAGCTGCTTCAGAGTTGACTTGTTTATAAAGGACAAGGAATGAGGTTTTCTTCTTGATCTTTTATTTGAATAAAACTTGTCATTTCTTTCACAGTAAAATAGCGAATTAAATATAATCACTTATCTCAACTT